ATCTAGAAGAAATTGTTACTTAATCTATCTATTTCTCTATCGATAAATTTTTAAAAATAATTATTGAAGTTAAAGACAAACAATCGCCTAACTTAACTAGTAACGCATCAGTAACTAGTATCAAGTGTACCAGGAATCTTGATTTTGCAAGTGAAACAGGTAATGTTTTTACCTTTGTTTTATATTCAATTATTTAATATCATATTATTGAAAAACCGTTATATTATAATAAGATATGATTGAATAATATGATCGGGTAACAAAAAATTTTCCATTCAAAAAAATAAATGAAAAAAATTTTAATATTCTTCAAAACAAAAGCTTAAACAAAAAAATTTTATTTCCTTTTTAATTATCTTTTCAACATTTTATCAATAATTGATTCAGACTAGAATTAATAAATTTTTAAATTCAATTTTTCTAAAAACAAAATTTCAAATAAAAAATATCATTCTTTTTTTAATTATTTTAACATTCGATTATATTATTATATCCGACAGTTTTATTATTATGTAGTTTTTAAATGGTATATCGTGAAATATTCTTGATAATTTTTAAATTAATGCACATAATATTAATTATCTATTATAAAACTATCTTATTTAATTTAATTTTATTTTATGTTTTCTTTATATTGTAGAAATAACGGCAATAATTTATCGTTATTCTTGCATAACACTTGTGTCAATAAACTGAAGAAATAAGGGAAAAAATTGATTTCCATTCGTTGTCAAACATTCAGATATCTTAAAATTTTTGCTTTTAGTATATTTTAATGATAAAAAAGATTAGGATATCAGAATTCCTATATAAATTATTAGATACTTATAAACTCGACTTTCTGTTGTATAATTTGTAAAAATTTATTAGATTTAGATTTTTATATACACATATAAACTTTTAGACGGAGAAATTTCATAATTGCAGGATTTTTAATATCTTTTATATTTCAAAGATAAAAGTTTCTCATACATTATATTTTTAAAATTTGTTTGCTTTTAGATGTCGAAGATAGCATTTTTGATCGCTTTCTTGGCATATGCCGCTACAACCATCGCAGCCGATAGTAAGCATTAAATAAACTGATAAAACTAATGATTTTTAATATGTTATCTTTAAACAATGTAATCGATATCGTTAGTTATTTTTATAATCTTAATTTCTCTTCTTTTATTTCTATAATCTTAATTTTTGTATTTGAATTAATATTATATTAATTGAAATAATTTTGTTATAAATTTTATATAATAATGTTTTTTCATTATCTAGTAAAAATCGTTTGCTATTATGGTAGCTGGGCTGCTTATCGCCCTGGACTCGGAAAGTTCGAACCTACCGATATAGATCCGACATTATGCACTCATATGATTTATACTTTTATTGGTATTGCTAATGATGGTAACGTCAGAATATTAGATAGTTGGATGGATCTACCAAGTGGCAAGGACGGTTATGGAAAATTTACTAGACTTCGTCAATTAAGCCCTAACACTAAGGCATTAATAGCGATAGGTGGTTGGAACGAAGGATCTTATAAGTATTCTGAAGTCGTTGCTAATCCTGAAATTCGAGGTCGATTCGTCAAAAACGTGGTTGCCTTTTTGAAAAAATATGATTTTGACGGTTTCGACATAGATTGGGAATATCCGAATCAACGTGGTGGCAAACAAGCTGATAAGGAAAACTTTGTTGCCTTGTTAAAAGAATTAAAACAAGAATTCGATAAACATAATTATATCCTTAGTGCAGCGGTGGCTGCTGCTAAATCTTCAGCTTTGAAATCATATCATATTTCGGAAATAATGAAATATGTTCATTTTATTAATCTTATGACGTACGATTTAAATGGATCGTGGAACAATTTTGCAGCGATTAATGCTCCTCTATACGCTTCCTCTAGCGAATCTGGAGCTCAAGCTGAGCTTAATGTGGTATGTTTCCATTCCCAATTATATTAAAATATTAAAAAATAATACTAAAATATTAAAATTGGTATTAAATATGTTATAGTCTGATTAATTCAATATTAATATGAAACATTTATGTTTTAGAATTCATCTGTTCAATATTGGCTTTCAGAAGGTGCACCAGCTGATAAGCTTATTATTGGTATTCCAGCTTACGGTAGATCTTTCACTTTGGCAAATTCTGCAAACAATAAACCAGGAGATAAAACTATAGGTGCTGGACAAGCTGGACCTTATACACGAGAAAATGGTATGCTTGGTTATAATGAAATTTGTGAATTCATTGGTCAAGGTTGGACTGTAGTACGTGAACCTGAACAACGTGTACCTTATGCTTTTAAAAACAATCAATGGGTTGGATATGATGATACCATGTAAGTATTTAATAAATTAACATTATAATAAAATAGCAATAGGTATTAAAAATGAAAAAAAAGGAAATAATATATCCACATTTTCAGATCTGTTGAAGAAAAGGTCAATTATGTTAAATATAATGGTCTCGGTGGTATAATGATGTGGAGCGTCGAAACCGACGATTTTCATGGTACGTGTGGTGAAAAGTATTCACTTTTAAATACAATAAATAGGGTGTTAAAGGGACATAATCCATCTACTGCTACTACGATTAACACTGATTCAACTGTTGCATCCACAACTAGTAGTATATCGAATAACATAACAACTATCACATCTAGTAGTGCGTCGACTAGTACAACTATATCCATTAGTACATCAACTGTACCATCGTCATCTGTACCATCATCACCGAATTCTATATGCACACAGGAAGGCTACGTTCGAGATCCACAAGATTGTTCAATATTTTATTATTGTCGAATTGTAAATAATAAATATATTATAAACAAATTCCAATGCCCTAAAAATCTTGTATTTGATACAAAGATCAATAATTGTAATTACAAATACAATGTCCATGATTGTCCATAAGATTGATATAATTATTGAATAATATATAAATTACGATAAGCTACGTAAATTGTTATGATATATTGTACATATATACATATATAGTACATATTTTCTTATAGTTTACTTACTTTATGAATATTTGAAAAAATTTCTTATCATTATATATTTAATAATGAATAAATATATTTGTAATATTAGTATTTATTTTTTGTATAATTAATTTATATTTATAGTTTGCATAATTTTCACATTTTTTCATATTTAAATATTTATGTAAAAATAAATTATTAATTGAATTCATAAATAATTGTATTAGTTACATTTGAGTTACATTTCGTTAAAAAAATACATATAAGAAAATACTTTATCTATGGAACTTATTCTATACGATTCAATAAAATCACATATAATACGAAAATGATAAAAGAATTATGAAAATGATATGAATAATTTTTACATTTTCATAACAAAAAAATCATTACAAAAATAAAGTTCACTTTATCATATTTGTAATATATTTTTATATAAACTTGTAAATTGAAAAACTTATTTAATCGATCTCTTTATATATCACGCTGATAAGCGGAAGTTATTTAAAGTTTAAATTTGACTAATGTAGTTTGTATCTAAACGTACTGCTTTCGTCCTACTTCCTTTTCACGACGTGCTTTCCAAAATGCAGAAGGTGGGTTTTTTAAATTATAAATTTTATAAATTTTCTTCTTTATAAAAAGTAAATTTATGTTTTTATATTAAATTGTTTGATTTTTTTTCTTTTCAGAAACAAAAAGAACCAATTCAATCTGTGCAAGTCTTCGGACGCAAAGTAAGTGTAAATTGCCAATAAAAGAGGTTATGTTTGCGTATGTTTTTTCAAATATATATTTATTATATACATTTATTATTATAGAAAAGTGCTACTGCGGTTGCTTATTGCAAACGAGGCCGTGGAAATCTTCGAGTAAATGGACGTCCATTGGAATTAGTTGAACCTCGTGTATTACAATACAAATTACAAGAGCCTATTTTGTTACTCGGCAAAGTAAGTATCGGAAAATATATTAATTTTATGTAGTTTAATATGTATTTTGTTATATTATTTTAAACAATGATAAAAAATATTAATTTTTTTTTAAATATTGCACTACCATTTTTTTTTTAATGTTGCTCTATGATGTTCTCTTATTCCGAACATGATTATTCATGATTATAAAAATAAAAACACTGAGAAAATTTATATTTATGTATTATTAATTATTAATTCTTTAATTTTAATAATATTTTATTTGTTATATTTTTTATATAGGAAAAATTTTCTGGAGTGGATATCAGAGTAAGAGTAAATGGTGGTGGTCATGTAGCACAAATTTATGCTATTCGACAGGCTATTTCTAAGGCTCTTGTAGCTTATTATCAAAAATGTAAATTATATATTAAAAAATTTAATATTATACATATATATTTTAACTCTAAATATAAATTATTTTCATGAAATATTTATTTTAGATGTTGATGAAGCAAGTAAGAAGGAAGTAAAAGATATTCTTATTCAATATGATCGCACTCTTTTGGTTGCTGATCCAAGACGATGTGAACCAAAAAAATTTGGTGGTCCAGGTGCAAGAGCAAGATATCAGAAATCTTATCGTTAATATCTACAAATTTCACATTATATTTTATTTGTATTATTGAATAAAATATATAAAAAAAAATTGTTGTATTCTCTTGTATATATATTTAAGATATATACAATATTTTCAAATTTTTGTATATTGGAATTTTTTTCAATTATATTTTTCAAATAATTGTAAATATAGATAAAAATTTTTAATTTTAAAAATCTTAATTTTATATTAAAAAAATATAACCTGAGAAAAAATGATTCACGAAATTTTTAAAGTTTAAATTTTTATTTTCAGAAATAAAATTTTTTTACGAAACAATGCGTATTTAACAATAAATAATGTTCATATGAATTATGAACATGAATTTTTAAATTTATAATACATATATGCTGTGCATATGTATATTTTTACATGTAAATTTCTATCTTTAATGAATAGAATTTGATAGTATATAAATATCACAATATATATATGTATATATTCGATATGTCATTTGCGATACATATGTGCGCAAGTAAAGTTAAACGTGAACTCAAGATTGTTAATTTTTAATTTTTCAATTCTTTAAATATTAAAGAGAAAAGAATAATATACTTATAAAAATGAAAACAAGATTTAATTCATATGACATTGCTTGTACTATAAACGAGTTACAAAAGTAAGTGAATTATTGCATAAAGGTTAGGATTGATATTGATGTATTTTTTAAAGATTTTTTAAGATTAAATAATTTTATTTTAATTTTAATATTTAGACTTATTGGTATGCGCGTAAATCAAGTTTATGATATTGACCATCGAACTTACCTTATACGTCTTCAACGAAGTGAAGAAAAATGTGTCCTTTTATTAGAATCTGGCAATAGAATTCATACAACAGTATTTGAATGGCCAAAAAATGTAGCACCTTCAGGATTTTCGATGAAGGTATATTATAGAATTTAAATGATTTATTTAAAAAAATTATATATCATATTATTTTCACAGATGCGAAAACATCTTAAAAATAAACGACTTGAGAGTCTTACTCAAATAGGTGTAGATCGAATGATTGATTTACAATTTGGAAGTGGTGAAGCAGCTTATCACATAATTTTAGAATTATATGATCGTGGAAATATTGTGTTAACAGATTATGAAATGACTATTTTAAATATTTTAAGACCTCACACAGAGGGAGATAAAATTAGGTAAAATAAAAAACAAATTTTAAATATTAAAATTATATTTTATATAAATGTAAAAAGATTAAAAAATATATATTTAATAGATTTGCAGTCAAAGAGAAATATCCTATGGATCGTGCTCATCAAAATATAATGCCACCTATAGAAAATATACAACAACATTTACAAAATGCCAAAATAGGAGAAAATTTAAAAAAAATATTAAATCCACTTCTAGAATTTGGTTCTGCTATAATTGATCATGTCTTATTAAAACATGGATTCACATTGGGTTGTAAAATTGGTAGAGATTTTAATATTGAAGAAGATATGTCAAAATTAATATTAGCATTAGAATATGCAAATGATATGATGAACTTTGCAAGACAAAATGTTTCGAAAGGATATATAATTCAAAAAAAAGAAATAAAACCAACAACAGATGGTCAAAAAGATTTTATATATACTAATATTGAATTTCATCCATTTTTATTTGAACAATATAAAGATCATCCATATAAAGAATTTGCTTCTTTTGATGTTGCAGTAGATGAATATTTTTCTACAATGGAAGGTCAAAAGTTGGATTTGAAAGCTTTACAACAAGAACGTGAAGCTCTCAAAAAATTAGAAAATGTGAAAAAAGATCATGATCAAAGATTAATAACATTAGAAAAAACCCAAGAATTAGACAAACAAAAAGCAGAATTAATTTCCAGAAATCAAACTTTAGTAGATAATGCCATATTAGCTATACAAAGTGCTCTTGCTAATCAAATGGCTTGGCCAGATATAAAGGTATTGTTAAAAGAAGCAGAAAGTAAAGGTGATCCTGTTGCATCTGCAATTAAACAATTAAAATTAGAAACAAATCATATTTCCTTATTATTACATGATCCTTATGAAGACAGTGATGAAGAGTCTGAATTGAAACCTATGTTAATTGATATTGATTTAGCACATACAGCTTTTGGAAATGCTAGGAAATATTATAATCAAAAGAGATCAGCAGCTAAAAAACAACAAAAAACAATCGAATCGCAAGACAAGGCTTTAAAATCAGCAGAAAAGAAAACAAAACAAACGCTAAAAGAAGTACAAACTATTCATAGTATTAATAAATTAAGAAAAATATATTGGTTTGAAAAATTTTATTGGTTTATTAGTTCTGAAAATTATCTTGGTAAATTGTTAAAAAAATATATAATATTCATAATAAAAGCCATTTCTTTTTAATAATATAATATAATCTTGTAGTAATTGGTGGAAGAGATCAACAACAAAATGAATTGATAGTAAAAAGATATCTTAAAACTGGAGATATATATGTTCATGCAGATTTAACTGGTGCAAGTTCTGTTATTATCAAAAATCCTGGTGGAGGTTCTGTGCCTCCAAAAACTTTAGCTGAAGCAGGTACAATGGCTGTTGCCTACAGGTATATAAATATTCATATTTTAATTATAAATATATTATATATTTTTTTATTATAAAAATATTATGATATTATGATATTAGTATTGCATGGGATGCTAAAGTAGTAGCAGGAGCATGGTGGGTAAATAATGATCAAGTTTCTAAAACTGCTCCAACTGGTGAATATCTTACTACTGGATCCTTTATGATTCGTGGAAAGAAGAATTATCTGCCACCATGTCAATTAGTTATGGGATTAGGATTTTTGTTCGTTTAGAAGAAAGTTCAATTGAAAGGCATAAAGATGAAAGAAAGGTCAGAATTATTGATGATGAAAATGAGCATACAGAATCTTTTATTGAAGAAGATAAAGAAATTGAATTAATAGAAGATTCTGAAGAAGGTGAAATATTATTTTATATAGAAATAAATATAAAGTAAATTATATTAATATTATTAATTCATTATTTTACAATTTTAAATTAAATAGATGAACAACCTGAAAATAAGAATAACTTAAATCCTATTCAGGAAGAATCTAAAAAAGATTTATTTATGGAAGAAAAAAATATTAATCAAGATAGTAATGAAGAAGACAATCCATTTCAATTTCCTGATACACAAATTAAAATTGATATTTCTGGTTCAAAGTAAATTGTATAATTTATATATATAAATTTTTTATTTTTTAAAATTATATTATATCATATATTTTATTTTTATAGAGTAAAGTTACATGTTGATAATAATCAGCCAACTACAATATCACAGGAAGTTGTAGAAGATATTATTTATTTAGGCGATGATAAACCTGTATTAATAAATACCATGTGTAAGAAGAAAGATTTAGAAGTTAAACAAAAGTCATTTAAAAAAGAAAATAAAGAAAAAATTGAAATAGATAGTAAAAAAAATGATCAAGTGATTTTAAAACGAGGACAAAAAGGAAGGTTGAAAAAAATGAAAGAAAAATATAAAGATCAAGATGAAGAAGATAGAAGATTATCTATGCAAGTTCTTCAAGTAAACATCTTTTGTAATTCATAATATTTATAGTTAGAAAAAATTTATTATAATAATATGATAATACTTAGTCAGCAGGTAATGCAAAAGAAGATAAAAAAAAGAATAGAAATAAAGATCCATCTGGACCAAAACAACAAACAAAAAAAAAAAGTATAATGAAATCAGTTCCGCCACAAAATTTTCAAATTGTAGAAAATATTGAAGAAGAAGACACAGGTCCGGGACCTGAAATAGATATGTTAGATCAATTAACAGGAAAACCTGTTACAGAAGATGAATTATTATTTGCTATACCAGTAGTAGCGCCTTATAATACTGTGCTTAATTATAAGTAAGTTAAATTATTTATTTTTATATCATGTTAAAATTTTAATTTATTATTAAATTTTCTACTTTTTCAGATTTAAAGTAAAACTAACTCCAGGAACAGGTAAAAGAGGAAAGGCAGCAAAGACTGCTATGGCAGTATTTATGAAAGATAAAGAAATTACATTAAGAGAAAAAGACTTATTAAAAGCGGTGAAAGAAGAAACAATAGCTAGAAATATTCCAGGAAAAGTTAAGATAAGTGCACCACAAATACAAAGATTAAAAAAATAGATAATTTAAGTATAATTTGTAAACAATGTTAATAAACAAATATATATTTGTATATATATATATATATATATATATATATAT